TGACTGCGAATTGCTCATTGTTGTGGACAATTCTCTCAATAGACTACGAATTTATAATATTGAAACGTTTCAACTCCCCAAGAGAATACTGAGGCATTTTAGTAATTTCAGTCTTATTTCGTTTCCAAATTATGTTATTTCATAAGCTTTCCAAGTATATTTCTTATCTTAGAAAATCGTTGTTTTATTTTATAGGCACTAAACACGCGGTGTGTGGTACGATTTTTGTTGTTTTATTGTTTTATTTGTTACTAGCGAGAAGGTTTTTAATTCGCATTAAATCCTCTAAGTAAAATAGGAAAAGAGATACATATTATGTATACAAAAATTTATAAAAAAATATATATTAATGTTTAAATAAAATAATTCCAATTTTTGGGAATCGAACTCATATGTAATTACGTACGTATGACGTTGATACTCTAAACGTTGTTACTTTTCCCAAACACCTTAAGAATAAATCTAATTACTACAGCTATGTACTTATTAAAAATATATATTTAAAGCGCCAAATTTCCCAATGTTAAAGTAGCAAATGCGACAAACACTTTCTGTGCAAAGTTCAAACTTCAATTAGTGCAAAATCTGGGCTTACTTACTGTATGTATGTACGTCGTGTTCCGGAGTAAAAGGAACTTTGTCGTTCCGTCTCGCCGTCGGACTCCAGCGCTGAATTGCACGTATTTGTAAATAAGATGTGGGTATTTTACTTACTTCGGTACTATACTGTTGGAAATGTTTCATGGCAATATCCATTGTTTTGTTATTTATGATATATATATATATATATATATATATATATATATATATATATATATATATATATATATATATATATATATATATAGTAATTGAGTTTGTTTGTAACTTCTCTACAGCTTATGTCATTCGATGCAAGTAACCTATGGGGTGAAAGGGGTGAGCTTTTTTTTGCATATAATGTTACTTAAAAAAGGCTAAAACCAAAGATATCCTTATCGGTATTATCTTACAGTAAACTAGCAGAATTTGCGACTTCGCTCGCGTTAAAACTACAAAAAAACTCCTTGGTTTTATGATATTAGTAATAATGTATGGAAGTCTGCCCGATTTGTTGACATTTATAATCACTGCTCCGCTCCTTTGGGGCATGTTGATATATTGCTTATATCCTCCTTAGATTTTTTAAATCGGATTAGTAGTTTCTGAGATTAACGCGTTTAAACAAACAAACAGACAAGCTCTGCCTCTTTATAATATTAGTATAGATTAAACATTAAAGACCTACATAATAAGCCCATTAAAATACTTGATCAATAAGAGAAAAGGAATAGAGAGAGAACGCTATAAGATATCCTCTCTGGCTGTAATACTATGAATGTAACTTATTCAATAAAAACATATCAGTACCAAAATAAAATGTTAAACGGCAGTTTAAACAATCAATAATAATTTTGGCAAAGTAATGTACTCCGCGCCCTCTGCGGCCGCAGACCGCTGCAAGCTCGACGTCAATCAATATTGATATGCCATAACTAGATTTAATTTCAATGTTCAACTGATTAATTACATACTGTATACATTGCGAAATAATCCATTATGAAAAACTTGTGTAATAATTGTTGCCACGAGAAAGCGTATTGCAGGAAGCTTTTACTTATTAAGCTTATTTAGATGAAAATTAACTTTAGTCTAAAAGTACTATATTTAGAAGAAATTTTATAATATCGATTCGTTTACATATATTTATACAATGCGCGATCAAACAGATGTATTAAGATTTTTACAAATATGTAATACTAGCAGAACCCGCGGCCTCGCTCGCGCTAAAACTACAAAAAAACTCTAAAATAGTAGGTTTCATATCAACTTTAATCCGCTATTTTACCCTCTTATGGGATGAATTTCGGAAAATGCTAAAACACGTATTTATTTAATTTTATTGAAGAGCATTTATACAAAGTTTCAAGTTATTCTGGTCATAAATATTTTTTGGATTTTATTATAACGTGTTTTCCTGTGGGAAAGATAATTTCCCGCGGTAAAAAGTAGCCTATGTCACTCTCCAGCCCTCCAACTATCTCCACACAAAAAATCACGCCATTCCACCAAGCCGTTTCGACGTGAAAGAAAGACCAACAAACAAACAAACAAACAAACAAACAAACAAACAAACAAACAAACACACTTTCACATATATAATATTGATATGGATTGTATGTTTTCATAAAAAACAAATATGTATGTCACATCTAGTCCAAGTTTCTTCTGAATTATCGTATAATATGTACGGATAATGATACATGAAACAACAGTATGCACCATTCACCATATGATATTACGACTTTTGGCCTCACTTCTCCCCCGCCGCTGTGTTTGATTCTTTTTTCTTGTACGACCATTTCTATTCGTATTCAGCTCGGAACATCATAATTGCTCCCTTTTTTAGGCGAGGATTCGTCCACAACAATATCGCTTTTTAAATTTCTTTTCGTCATTTAAGTCCAAATTGGATGACATATGTCAATTTAAATAAAAGATGAATTATTTAAGGAATTGTATGTAGCACACACAAAATTGGTCTGGAACTTTGTCAGACTTGAGCCTTCCGCAGTCTTAGATAATGCCTAATCAAGTACATTGTCTTGTCTTGTGTCCGTATATATTTAACTTTTGTTAATTCTTCATATAAGTAACAAATATGTTCAGAGAAAACAATTACATTTGGGTTATATGTACTTTGTTTTTTTCTGTCTGAATCAAAAATTACCAGCATCGTGCAAATCTGTGAAATGCGACTTAATTTCTGAATCAAAATCTTAAATATAACGCAGACTGAGCCGGCGGGCTCACCTAGTGTAACAAAAATGTACCGTGAAGTAGCTAACATTTGTTCCAAATATCCGTTATAAATGCAAAGCGATCAGTTCAAACAACAAACACAGCTCAAACGTCATGGAGAGCTATTACGGCAAACACGCGCCGATCTCGTATCAGAAATGGTCAACAGAAGCCAAATTGGTTCTACCTTGAAACATAACAACGTGAATTAGATATGACACACATATGTGCATTGGTTTATAGCTCTTCGGGTTTCCAAGAAATTACCCAGAATCCTGTGCTATTACACTTAGTTCGTAGGTAATCGAGGATTCGGTTCTCGCGTTACGCAAGTCTTTTTATATTGCTACTAGCAACTTCTTGCTTCATTAGAATGTGTCCCTAAATGCCTAAAAATATCTGTTACTCTAGGTCTTAGTCCATCTGTGAAGTAAATTTCGCCCAAAACCGTCCAGCCGTTTCAGCGTGGAAGAGGAACAAACATATACACACACATACACACATAGGAACTTTCATATGTATAATAGTAGTCCGATTATTGACTCGCTGCACGGATCGTCCCTAAGCTCTTATGTACTTCAACTTCCAGAATAAACAGTGCCTACCTTTTATAAGTACCTTTTATCGCTACCGGCTTCGAGACCATTTGTATGAAAACATCACGTTGTGGCGCGAATAAGGACACATTCTATTGTTAATATTAATATCTAAAGACTCTCATAAGAAAACTATAACGACTATACAATCAATGTAAATAAGAACAAGTATTTTAAAACAACACTAATATGCATATTATATGTTTTGTTTACATTATTTATTTTCTATGTATTCACATTTCACTTGTCACTTTTAATAATATTCCGCGCGAGTCGCCGCCGCAGTCACAAAATCAGACGTCGAGCCGGAAACATCATAATAGAATCAATACGTGCACGCTCTTGTCTCGTTTATTTATTATCGTTTTAAACTTTTTTCGGCTCGAGACGCAGCTGTCGACGCGCGGGACGTGTTCAATTATTTCACGGAAATTTTCCCCATTTTTTTTTTCAACCCCGTTTTCTGTTTTCTATTAAAGGAAGGTTTATGGGATCTTTAATTAAAGCTCCAGTGAATAATGTTAATTCATGGTTTATATATCGTCCAGTTACGTCCTGGATGCCTTTTGTAATAATATTATGTGGATACAAGTAGTGCCACCTTTTGGCAAATTTTATTATTAACAATAACTGTGCTACTCCAGTTTATGGTTCTATACCTATACTAAATTTCACCGAAATCCGTCCAGCCGTTTTGAAGCAGTAACAAACAGACATTAACACCAAACATCCACATTTATAACAATAGTGTTATAGCATTTAATATACAGTAAAAGCAGTCTATTTCTACATATATTTTTATTAGAGGCAGCCAGTTTTCATGTTAGTAAATTTATTTATGAGGCCCATATTGTATAATACGTTTCTTAATAGAGTGAAGAATAATGCCCGACGCCAGACACTAGCTCTAAATCACGGATGACAACACAAAACGTCGATAAAAGTAGCCAACGCGGCCGCAAAGGCATCGATACTGGATATTTCACTTGTGTCACATCACTATCGAGCCAAATAGACTATGGAAGCGATTCAATGTGCATGACAGATTATATTACGTCCGATTTATTACTCGCGCTATATTGTTAGTTTTATCTCTGCGCGGTTCGAAATTTTAATATTATTGTTTCGAATAAATGGAGAATCCCTTTCAATTTAAATTTATATCGCGAACTATGCTCGTGTATGCGTCGTGTTATTGTAACCGAGCGCTTTGCTAAAGCGTTGGAAAAATAAATTTATGTAAATTGAATGTCATAAGCTTGATTTCAGAAATATATAACACATTTTGTATAAATAAATGAAGGGTCGTTACCAAAATTAGGTACGTTGTTTAAGTATACACAGTCAATTTCCGTAAAAAAAAACCGGAGAAAATAGGGCATTTTTACGCGTTAAATGTACATTAGGCCTGTATATTCAGCGGCAAAAGCGAACAGCGAGTTCAATTAAAAAAAACGATCCCTCAGGAAATTGCAAGTGCTGTGAAAAAATGATCGTTCCAACCTCCCTCAGATGGACACTAGTGTTGTTGGCGGTAAATATCGATAGTCGATAGTTGAGTGATGTGCTTGTGAAAAGTGCGCTATGGAGTATCGAGCCCCACACCCGATGAGCTCCGGGGCGCCCTACTACCCCCACCCTGGTATGTATTTATAATCAAATTTTATAAACAATCCGAAAACGTATTACAGACCTAAGTTTCAATCAAAAAGAGGTTGTAATATCTATGTATTTATAGGGGCATTCATTGGAATTTAACAGTTGATTGAATTTTTTTGGGTACACTAGCCTGCAAACTATCCGAAGTTAAAATATTATGTAGATCCGTCACTCTGATTCTGGATGGAAAAAACTAACTAACATATTTGTATGTAGTTGTACTATTAAGAAGTCATTTTATAAAGTTGTTAAGTAAAGAAGTGAGAATGTTCTCTAAACGTAGTCAAGATTAAGTGTGAAAGCCATCTCAAAGGGCGTATTTAGCTGTCACTTTACACCCTCTTCCTACATGCAAATAAAATGGGGTGGACCTGGAGCCATAAATAAAACCAAATTTTCACTAATTAACAGTATGAATTGATCTCTTTTATTATTCATCGTCGTTATTCGAGTCTGATTAAGCGTTACGTGTGTAAGCTAATTATATTTTCAATACATTTTTAATTAATTTTCAGTTGTCGATTATATTCTTATACTAATTAACTATTAATGAAAATATTATGTTAACGCATTATGATATTGGATCGTGCGGGTTATTTATGTTGGGAGCGTACAATAATGGTTGCCACTGATTTGACTGCCCATTCAACTTTACTGGATGTGGATTCTAAATAGAAATCTATTGATAAATGATAATCGAACACAAATATATGTAATCTATGTAATTAAAAGCACCATTATAAATGACTCGCTGTATAACTGATTAAATACAATATTTAAAAAAACAACTGATGCTAGGAATATTAAAAGTGTAGAAGATTTTTTGTATAATAATGCCTGCTAAGAAAGATTTTTTTTGAAATTTACATTTAAGTGGGATAATTTTGTATGAATCTTTTTGTTTATAATTACCACCGGCTTACCCCTGGTTAGCAGTCACTGTACCTAATCTTACACTGGTAAGGACATGATGTCTCCCGCGATACTCTCTTAAGAGGATGAGATCTCTTACTCACTGAAAGACACTCAACATCTTTGTATGGCTACTTATTGACATTCTGCTAAAAATTTACACATCTCCTGTCGAGCTGCTGCGTTCCTTCTAACACAAACTAGGCTCTAGATATACTTTATCCGTGTAAAATTTAACAAAATTAAATTAGTTATTGCTTAGAAGGTATGCTTCCAGTTTCATATACAACAAGTTTTTACCCTACATTACCTATCCTTGTTAAATTTCATCAAAATCTTTCCAGCGGTTAAAGCTCAAAAAGGTAACAAACATAAAGAGTTGCTTTCACATTAAAAATATATAGTATGTATATTTAAATTTTAAAGGCAAGTACGAGTTGCACTCGACCGCACGTCACTACCGGCCTGTGTGACGGGTTAATTGGCACGTCGTCAAGACGACAGCGGGGCGGCGCGGCGTCGCACGGTGATGAATGTGCACGAGATTACGCCGCTACGATAAAACCCTGATATTAAATGCTAATTATACAGGAACCAACAGTTCGATCTGTACCAATGTGTTGATGGATAGAATATTTGTATTTATTTAAGGCTAGTATCCCTAGATATCCTTTGTACCTATAACACTACGGAAGTTCTATCATCATACCGAAAGCTTATTTTCGCAAAAAGCTCATAAATTATAGCCTATAACTTTCATATAATATAATCCCTCAATTTATAGGTGATAGTCGTATGAAAATCCGTTTAGTACTTTCTGAAATTGGCCCGAACAAACACAAACTTACTTCAGTTGTCATCGCGGCGGGTGACATTTTATAATGCGTAATGATGGTCTTATACAAATTATGATAATATCATGTTTTTTTTTGCATTATATAGATATCACAGAAACCATTTAGTTATATAATGAAAACATATAGTTTGTCATTTTCCATCTCAAAAGCTATCGCTACACGAAATCATGTCTATGCGTTTCGTTGATATGTTAATGAACGATAGAGTAACACAACTTAAATGTTCTTTTTAATTACATTTCGACTAGTTTCTAAATAATACGTGCTAATTGGCGACTTACAAAATTGTAGAATTATAACAATAACGAGACATAAATTGTATATATTTTATAGTGTGTAAATACAAAAGTTTACACAACGTGAGATGTGAACCAGCGACCTCCCAAGTATTAGACGGTACCATTCCTACTATGATGCCCATTGTTATTTCGGTAGTTTGAAATTATCATAACTTGTAACCTCATTTGATTTTTATAGATCAAATGTGATCAATCCGGGCTTAGTAGACGGATAGGCGCGGGATGAAGCGTGATTAATTGCGTAAAGACACCGACATGACTTGCCCTAACGAGCTCACGATTATCAAAATTGATTAGCCACCTAGCTTATGTATCTATCTCTTGTACAAAAACATTTAATAATTATTGTTACTATACTTAGTTGCAACGTTCGTATAAACATCTGAAGATTTCTTCTGTTTAGAAGTATTTTTAAATGTTACAAATATTTTTTTTTTTAAATCGTGTGGGTCGGGGCATACTGCCGTTGGTTTAACGTGAAATATTTCAGCGAATCGCTTTTAGTGTTGTTGTTTTTTATGAATATTTTGCATATTTGAAAACAAATCAGTAAAGATAGTAATCTTTGAAGATAGCAACGGTAATAATATCGTATATGTATATTATTTTTCAGATAGCAACAACGGTTACTATGGCAACCTTATGCAACCTATTTCGTTACGGGCCACTTTTGTGACCTATAACCCGTATCTGTGTTTCAGTGTAACCGTTTGCCTGTCCCATGAGTCATGTATGAACATTTCGATTGTTTAATTATTGTGTCTATTTAGCGGACAGTTAATCTGTTAAAGACGTTTCACGTCAAAACCACCTAACTAAAAACTTTTTTAAGAATAAGATAATATATTAATAATTAGTCACGTCTTTATAGCATTTTATATTAAAGCATTTTAACTATCGATGTATCTAAAACAAAATTGTGATATAAAATATGTAGAATGTCGATAGAGTCATTATGCTGAAAATCTTAATCGTCTCCTGCGGGCCTCATAGGCTCAATTATAGGTCACGCGGTTGAGGCATAGTTGACGAGACGACGCGGCGCGACGGGGCGACGACGTGACGTGATGGATTGCGAAACGACAGCCGCACGACTTGCCGCGCTTTAGAGAACTCGAAATGATCAAGATTGATGCTAGAGCGAGAATGTGCCCGCTGTAGAGATGAACAGTTTTTATAAGAGCACTTTAGCTTAATATGTGTGGATTTTTTGATAATATTGTTTCTTTTATGGTAAATGCATAGTACATACTCCCTATATTGTCCTTAGACGGGAAAACATGTACATATGTATAAACCCATTCTTTGTACGTGGGTATCGAATCAGCGATATCCATGGTAAATAACTAGCGCTACAGTTAGCATTCAGCTCTTTTGACAGTTAAGTGAATTTAATATAAAAAAAACAGCATTGCCAGCGGCTTCGCCCGCGTTCAGATGACCAAAAATCAAATTCTTAGGTTTTACATATTAGTATACTCTTACATAGTAATTTTTGTATTTTTTCTCAGAAATGAGATATTTTCCCGCGGTAAAAAGTATCCTATATGTTGACCCGGATAACCAGCTATCACCATACCAAATTTCATCAAAATCCCTCTAGTGGTTTTCTGACAGACAGACAAAAATTCTAAAAACTATAGATTCGGCCTCTGTATCGATAATAATGTTTATTTCAATAAGATTTTCCAAAAAATATTTAATGTACAGATTCGGCTTGGTTACAATTTTATTATACATATGTATAGATTACCATCGTAAACTATTTTTTCCTTGTTAAGCCTGAAAGTGAGCAAAGACATGCAAAAGACTTTCGTGGATGCTGTCATAAAAATTAAAATAATAGATACGCGGGATATCCCTAGAATTTACCCCTGCATCGTCAGTTACGGGTTCAAACCCCGGACACGGCAAAGCCTGTATTATATGTAACCCAGGAAGATCCTTTTATTAGTCGTGTCAATTACGTATTAATTTCCTACTAGAGACTCGGTTTAGTGCTATAAACTCTATTCTAATTTATTTATCCCACACTATATTTTTTATTGCCATACACTCATTTTCTTCGATGCCTTGCATAAAATGTTCCGTGTTAATATGAGCTTATTCTATATTTGCTTTTGATTGCATCCCCACTTTCTAATAGATCAATATAAGCTGTAACCTATCGTAGAGTAAACGTAGGATATCATTTTAGTATTAGGACTATAACGACCATTGACGTAAAGTGGTTTATATGTCTAACTGGCCAATACTAGGTAGTTGTACTACAATGATTGGCATGGGTTTGAACAGATATATTGTCTATCTTTGTTTTATTTAATACAGCCGAAAAACTGTAAACTAAAGGATATGAGGCATTATTTTGTTTCTGTTTAACCAATGCAAATAAATTTAGTTCATTATAATAGCAACGCAATAGTACTAGAAAAATACTTTATAATATTAATAAAAAAGTAAAAATATTAAGAAAATGTTATTAATTTTATTAGTTGAAGTCATGTTTTTGTATACCAAAAAATAAATGTACGCTCACTAAAAATTCACTATTTTTTTTTTCATTTTCGTATTTGTACACAAACTTACATTCAATGTACTTATGCAAGTATTCTACTACGACAAGGAAGAAATTCGCAAGTCGACCACACAAGTGAAGCGTACCCACTTATGCGGAATAGAAGCGTTCATAATAAACACAGACAGTCTACGTACTCTCAAACTGCTACTCACCCTAGCGTGGTGCGCGCGCAAATAGTCGTCCCGACGCTCTGTGTTGTGTGGCATCGGTATGAGCGACGAGCGATAAATACATATTTTGTAACATAATTTATTGATATGTTTGTTTGGAATGTTCCAACGCTTAAAAAATATTTTTTCCTTATGGTGCAGGGACTTCATGCCTAAATGGTAATTTA